TGTTTCCAAATTGTTGGCGGTTTGAAACCTGCTCCTAGATACCATCCTTATCAGACCTCCCACTCAGACCTTGGCAAGAAAGTGCTAAAACCTTCCTAAACTAATGGCAGCCTTCCGCTTTCTGCCAGAGCCTAATGATACCATTCTCCTCTGGCATTGTCATCCTGCTATTTCAAGACATATAATCTGGTGACTGTATATTTCTATATGTTTGTGACTTTGGTGGTTAAATGTTAGGGTGGTTTACATCAGAAGTGTTAGACCAAATTGCTTTTCTCCTTTCCAAGTCATTTTTATCTATTCAAAGCAGATATACCACTGAAAAAACTTTGATTCACGCTGGGTCTATACACCTACTGGCACCTACACACCATGCAGGACAGCAGCGATTTGGGTCCAGCGCACCTTAAAAGGCCAAACACAAGAGGAGCAGTTCCAAATAGGAACAGATACAGCCATGTCCCAGCAAGAACAGTAGGGGAAAATGGAGAAAAAAGCAAATAAAAATTCCTCTTCTATTAGCAACCACCAGACCATCAGGAGGTACTGTACATAAGACATGAAATTATTTTCTTCAGGGCACTGATGAAAATGTGGCAACACGGATCCAGTCTGCCTGCTCCATGCACCTGCCCCGATACACACGAAACCTTCCGTGTCTCTACTGAAGCACAGTTGTACATGCCCTTCCTCTTTCCATTTTGTAACTGTACATGAATTGCCTGTCTCAGTTTGAAAAGAAATGGATCCTCTGAGATGAAGAACTGTTCAGTGATGACGCCTCCCACCAAAGGACACAGCTTCATAGAAGCAGATGATTTTTCCCTACTTGGAGTTCAGCCATGGGTCTAAATTCCATTAGTGAAAGATGGAGGTAACAGTGATTTTTAGCACAAGTATTCTCTCTCAGCAGTGTGAAATACCATCAGTGCAACTGCATGCCAGGACATGAAGCATGTGTCATAACTCACGGAGAGTCCAACTTACTGCAGCAATCTGTGCCAAGCAACCAGGAGTTTTAAATCAGATTTCCCTTCTGGGAAAATTAATTGGGGATGGGGGTGCCTTTTTTAAAATTAGTTTTAAGAAACAGTTATAAAGGATTTGTTTCTCAAACGAGAGAATTTAATGAGTATTTCCTTTAAAGAGCTAAGCAGTTGGCAGTGCTGATACACAAAAGGAGTATTTCAAGTATTTGGCTTTGGAGATCACGAACATCACACTTGAAAGTAGGTTTTTTTTGTACAGATATGGTGTTTCTATTTTCCAGTAGTAAAAGGAAATGCTTTACATAACTTTTGGGTGGTTTCAAAGGAGGCAAAAGAAAAATTTCCAACTGTTTGATTCAATGTCAAGAGTGCCCAGATGGTGCCACGTGGGAAGTAAATAAGGGTCCCCTCAGCAGCACAAGTGTCTGGGAATGGCCCGATCTGTGGCTTCCTGCTGCCCTCAGGGCCCTGGGGACTACGTGGCCACCAGGGCTCAGCACACGGAGAAAAACGGAGAAAAACCGGGCAACATCCCCAGTGGCTGCCAGCAGCAGGAGCAGCCAGCAGGAAAGCATCCTCTTAAATTAAGTTCATTCTTCTTAAAAAAACATGGAGTCAGATAGGCTTATGAACCACCTGCAGCCTGCATGCAATCGGTATCCAAGGGATAATCAGTCTGTAGGCTGGACCAGTTATTTTATCTCTGAAGGAGATCCTTGGTAGGAGAAAGAGCTGAGCTGCCAACCAGCTTTTTCCTCAGCGTTCTGCTTCTTGCCTTCTCAGTGCATTTATTTAGTAAGCACCAAAGAAAAGAAAACCAGTCACCAAAAACATCCACAACAAAACCTGGAAATCTGACATATTTATCAAACATCCAACTTCTGAAACAGATGAACAGTATTGTCACCGCATCTGCCAAAACCAGGGGAAAGGAGGGAGGCCAAATATCTGCTGCCAAATCCAGGAGCTCCAGTGCCCCCAGCCATGAGCAGAGCTCTCCAGTTGGAGTTAACACAAACATCTCACTAATTGAAGCTGCATTTTTGTGTAATAATTTACAAATATATTATTCCCATTTTAATGCTGGTTATAACAACCACTAGCCTTAGGACCCTTGTTTGTGCTGCAATTAAAATGCAAAGTAAACTTTGACAAGCGAGTAATAGACAATAAAATTCTAGCATGTGGTTTGGTATCCATGAGGCTTTTATATTTTTGTCATGGCCGCAGATCCAAAACTGAATCTTCACTATTTACAGGTGTCTGGAAACATCAGAAAGTGGCAAAAATGGTAATATACTTACTTATATTCATGAGTTTGATCCATCCTCAAAAAAAGAAAAACATTCCAAAAATAGTTAATAATGTTTCCATTTATTACCTTCGTAAAATTTTGTGAAACAAAAATTTTGATTTACTAAAATAGCCTTGACCCCACAGCTCCACTCCCGGAGTCTGTGATTACATGGTAACTGCAGAATTGGCCACATGAAGGAAATCCAAAATGCTTTTCAGGCCACGCTTATGGTCAATCATAACTGGCAGTGCAGGCAGATACTACCTTTAAAAACATCTTTTTTTTCTGAAGAAAATGCAGGAGCAGGAAATCAGAAGCAGCTAGAAAAAGCAGCAGTTAATTCCCCAAATCTTGCAAAGCAAATCATTACAGGAGTTCACAGCACAACATGAGAAGTGAGTGCTGTCTCTCTTTTAACTGTATAGAATGATTTTGTCCATATTTCAAATCATAATCTTATATTCCTCATACCACAATGCCCTTATTCCACCCACTGAGCAGGCTGCAGCCAGCTGCCATGGCTCACATCCCTTTTTCAACATATATTTGGGCAGGAACATCCTTTGTTTATTCAGTACTCAGCACTATGGGATCCTGAATCTAACAGGGACTGCCAGTGCTAATTTGGTGTAAATGCTGAGCCAATATAATATTTCAGATCTTCCTGTGACAGTGTTATGCAAAAAGCAATGTAGTGTACATTCCTTAAAATGTAAGGCTTCCTGACTGGCAAAGAATCAAGTGGGACAGAGGATAATGGGGTTTTTTTTAAATCATGTTTAAGATTCTGTAGAAACAGAGATTAAAACAATCCATGTAGGTAGAAGAGTTTTGTAGCTTCCAAAATCATGAAGGGGAAGAAGTAGATTTAATTTTATATTCTTCACCATGATCTCAGAATTTTACTCAGAGCTCCATCAGGCATGCACCCCCTTCCAGCTGGCTCCTATTAGACGATGCAGGGTCAGAGACTGTGTCAAGGAGAGGATGAGAGGGGAGCCTGGCAGGTGAATAATCATCAGCACCTGACTAATTTAGCACAGAAAGCAGGAGGAGCTGTTAATAGCCTCAGTGAGGCCCCAGCGTGCAGTATGAACCTGGTATCAGTCGGCTCTGCCGGTGCCAACTGGGGAGCAATAGGGCTCCCCGCGGGAGGCGGCGGGTGCAGCCGGGACGGGTCCGTCCGTCCCTGCCTCCAGGTCGCTGCATTGTAGCCCTGAGTCGAACCCAGCCGGAGTCTTTGCCATGAATTTAGAAATCCAGATATCACCGTCTGATTGCCTTAAAAGAAGACTGAAGGTTAAACGCAGTAACACCCGGGTTTAGGGGTGTCACCGGCCGCGGGGCGCCACCTGCCGGCCCCGCCCGGCACCGCGGGGTGTCCTCCGGACCGCCCCCCGCCCGGGCTCGGACAGCGCGGGGGGTCCCGGAGCCACAGACCCTGTCCCGAACGCCCGGACCTCCCCCTTTTAAGCTCCTGAAACGTCACCAGCTGAAGGACATTTGGTGACCGGCTGCAGAAACGTCAACAGTGACCCCCCGCCGACCCCCGAGCTGCGGGGCCTTTACCCGGCGAGCGGTGTGTGAGGAGCAGGAGCTGCCCGTGCAGCCTCCGCGTGAAACACCCTCATTTCCAGACAAACCCCCAGGGCCTGAGCGGGCCGGGGCTGGGAGGTGTCGGGAGTCACTGCTTGTGCTGGGTGTCTCCAGGACTGAAAATTATTTTGCTGGATTTTCACTTGGGAAGAAGACTCTGTCACGTTCTCTTTCAAATAAAGTTGAACTGAATGAAAAACGTCTGAAACAAAAATAAAAATCAAGTGGCACCACCCGTGCTTAGCTCACCAGTTTCTCACAGAGAAGCGACACAGGTCTTTGCTGCATCTTTAACAACTGCAAGAAAATGCCAAACCCTCTCGCTCGAGCAGAGCCTGCACTGGAGCTCCCTCGCTTTCTCTTAGAGGAAGTCACAAAGTTTCAGTAGTTTATTTTCTCCAAAATGCCTAGTATTTGGTTACCTCTCTTTTCTTGTGGATAAATTCCTACAAAATTGCATGGTATAGTTTGTTATCCTTTCCTACAGAGCACATTAACTTCCCAAGGGAAGAAAAAAAAAAAAAAGGAAGCTGGACCGGGGAAGATTACTGTTCTGCTCCAAAATGTACCTCCTTATTTCCTTTTCGAGGCACTGGGCGGCATTTTTTCCGTCAGATGTGTAGAGCGATGGACGGCTTGTTGGACTGTGCTTCTTTTCTTACACAACACAAACAACCTGCTCTCGGGAGCCGGTGCCCTTTGACGCCTTGACGGTTCCCGTGCAGCCGGTCAGGGATCGCGGGGCAGCGCTGGCCTAATTTTCCCTGTGGCGGCGGAGCCTCCGGACCCCCGGCGGGGCCCGTGTTCCGGGGGTCAACCCGGGAGCTCCCGAAACTCCCCTCCCGCCTCCGGCGAGCGCCGCAGCACGTGCCGCCACGTCCCTGTCTGTCAATCAGCGTTCACATCTCCGCCGGGGACGCCGGGGACACCCGGGCACCGATATCACTCCCGGGGGCTGCCCCCTTGTCTCCCGCTTTAGAGCAGTCTCCGGGCAGGCGGGGGGCACAGGGACCCGGGGGAGCGTCCCCGCGGGGGCGGGGCAACACTGGACCCGGCCCTCCGCCCCCGCGGGGACGCGCGTGATATCCGCCCCGAGCCGTCACGTGACCGGGATGCGGAAGTTTTCCACAGGAAGTGGGGGGTGCTGCTTCCGGTGTCGGCAGGGCTGGGGCGCGGAGGCGGTGCCGGTTGCACCGAGCGCTGGGGCCGGGGCCGCGGCCGCATCCCGGAATGCGAAGAGACTCCGAGGCCCGCAGGTGAGGCACGGCCCGCGGGGGGGCCATACTGCCCGCCGCCCTTCCATTCTGTGTGCGCCCGCGCGGGGGCGGGAGGGCGAGTGAGGCCTTGCCGACCGCCGCCGCCTCACGGCTCTCCTCGGCGGGCCGAGGGGCCGCGGGCGCTGGACGCGGTCGGTTCTGGGCCCTGTGCCATGCAGGGCTGGTAGGCGGGGCCGGCACCGCGGAGGGGGGTCGGCACTGGGGCCTGGCCAGGCTGCAGCCGGGGCCTGCGGCGGGTCCCAGCGGCGCGCCCGCCGCAGCCGGCGCTGCTGAGGCGTTCTGCCCGGGCAGGTGCGAGTGATCGGTGTCTGCTGAAGCTCTGTGTGCAAAGAGCTGCAGTGACTGCCTGCTGGCACTTCTTAAAGTCATTTTATTTTCAAGCAAGTAATACGTGCCACATTAGTTTCGCTCAGTGTTACAGCATGGAGACTATTATTTTTTTTTTTATTAGTTAAAATAGACTTTGTTATGAGCTGGGATAAAGAAAATGCAGAAGCAGAATGGATTGTAAAAGGAGGAAGTGAAAGCTCTTTGGAAAAAGAAAGTTTTCTTGGCCCGTGTGGCTTTACTGGAAGGAAATATTTTACTTGTGTTTTGAAGGCTTTGGTTTTCATGAGAACTTAAAACATATAAAACTCTATTCTCACGTGGAGTAGTTTCTGCGGTGGCATGCTGAGCCCTCCCGGAAAGATGGCATTTTAGGTGAGCAGTAATTATATAAGATAACTGTCTGAAATACTTAAATAACGTTGTCAAGTTATTTTAACCAAAGCAGAAAGAAAAATTAATAATTGAATTGGCAGGTGTAGTATTCCATTACTTTCTGGAAAAAACATTGGTAGCTGATTGGGTCTCCTAAGTGGATTGGTTGTATGGGTACATAGCAGGCCTGATGCTCTGAGGAAAGAAGCTGAGGCGTGCTGAAGACTCTAAATTTAAAGGTGATCTTCTGTTGTTATGTAGGTGACAACCTGAAGAAGATGAGCTGAACTGCAAGCTTTTCAGAGATTCCTTTTCCAAGGAAGTAATTTAAAAAATCTGCTGTTTCTAATATTCCATTGGATTTACTAAATCAAGAACTATTCAGACTACTGAACAGTTTATATCGACCGTTATACAGAATGTTCTTGGACTAGCTAAAAGTGGTGATGTGACAGCTAGGTTATAAATGTAGGAGTGTTCAATCCAGATTCCACAGTTACACTTGAGATATGGCAGTTTGTGGTAAATCCCTTCTGGTGAGTTAGTTACTGTCCCTAGACTTTTTATTTCACTTGAAATGTGGGGAAATGGTGCTGTTCTCTGTTTTGCGCCTTCATGTGAAAATTTCCATATACTTTTGGGAACACATCTCAAGAAACTTGTTCAAGGATATGCATAATCATTTTCAGCTTGTCAAATACTTAAAGCAAGCTGTGAAGACTGAAGCTGAGGACTCTCTAAAGACTAATGTAAATGTGTGATGTAAAGGGCTTTCTGCTTTCATAACACTGTTATTCAAAGCACATAATAGTAGTGGTGTGCAAGATTTGCAAGTTTTAGGCTGTTTCCTCAGCTGATGCATCTCGGTTGCTGCCTCAGCAGGATGCAACTGCTCACCCGTAATTTATGTGAAGCAGTATGAGTAGGGAAACTGCCTTGTGCTACCAAGTGTTTAAAAAAAATAAAATAATGACTAATCCTCATCTTAAATTTGAGGGTCCCAAGGTAGTTGGTAAACATCTCAAGTTAAACTTGTTTCAGCCAGTAAAACAGTAACAGTTTATGAAAATGTAAAAGTGAGTGTGACTACATACAGCAGGTTACAGCGCTCAACTACAAAAGTTTCAGTCATTTGACTGTCCTCCCATGGGAGCTTTATTCAATCTTTTCAATTCCTTCCACTACCCAGCGTTGGAAATTAGCATGAGATTTGAAGAAGGAAACTATGATCAAAAAAGATACCTTTTTTCTTTTGATGATGTGATTGTCTATGGTTACAAATGGGTTTCATAAATAACAAGTTATTCTTCCTGGTTGGTTTTCTTCAAAGACCTTTATAAGAGTTGGATTTATGCCATGCTTCTAGTGAAAAATTAAAAGGAAATTTAAGAGCATGATTTTCACAGTTCTGCAGAAGATGCCAGTTTCAGTGTTTACATGGAGCTTGGGCTTGTATTTGTGGAAAAGTATTGGTGGCTGTCTGATGCCAGTGCTCTTTTTTTCTGTGGAAACCCTTGTCACCTTTATGGAAGAAAACAGGGGATGACCTGTGTTCACTTTTGCTCCATGTGCTTGTCATCCTTCTGTAGCTCTGAAACTTTGGAGATGGAACACTGAGTTTTTGGGGGAGTGGGGGAGAGATGTCAAGAATGAGTTGGAAAACAGATCAAAATTGTAAGGAAGGGATTATGTAATCATGAGCTGTTGATTAAACTTTGAGTGATTTACATCATCACTCCAGCATAGTCTGCATTTTTTAAGCAAACACTGCTGCTTTCCCTGCACTTAGCAGTCATATGTTTGTGCCAGCATTAAGCACAGCGCAGCAACCGAGCCATTTCTGTGGGTGCTTACGCAACTGTGTGGGAAATGCTGTCGTTATTGTACGAGCTCTCTGTAGCAGGGATTCAGAATCAGATTTTCCCAATGTCATATTTCCCTAGAAGTACTTTCATTTCAGAGTCCTCCAACTGCTTGTAATCCAAATTCTATTTTTGCACCATATTAAAAGAGTGCTTTGATTCTGTATGTATAAACTATCTGCTAATTTATTAAATATTCTGTCTCAGGTGTGCAGCCCCATCTGTTAAAACTTTGGCACTTTGCCACTTAGGAGAAAGAGAACTTGACAGAGGAAAACTACTTGCTACTCCATGGCTTTTCTGGAATTCCTCTGTATTCAATTTACACATTATCAAATTGAAAAACTGCACAATTTTAACTTACTCAGGATGTTAATGTTCATCTTTTGTAATTGTATTTGAATTTGTCTTTAATCACAGTAACATGCAAATTCAATTTAAAATATAAAATAGACAAGAATTATATTACTGCTTAAAAGACTGTTAGCTTTGTAATAAGACTTCTGAATCATGTGGGAATATAAGCATTAAAATCTGTGAGCTCTTAACTGAGCTTCTAGCATATAATTGTTGCATTGTTACAAATATACAAGGTACGTGCAGAAAAAATTCTGTACAGCAGAGATATCACTTTCCTGATTAACATTTTAAATTCTGTAAGGTTTTTCTTAAAGTAAGGAATGTTATAGCAACATCTGAAAAAGCTCAGAATTAAAAGATTGGATTATAGTCCTGCAACTGTGCAAGATATTGCAATTCCACCTTTCAGTTAATAAAAGGACAGGGAAATATCACTAGAAGAATCATAAGCCTTATTCTCACTAGGGTTCTGTCTGTGCTGCCTTTCTCATTGAATGAATCGATATGTTGGCCTTTGAAAACTTCATTGAAAGTGGAATATTTTGTGAGAGTACAGTCAGTCTTTGTTGGGGGATTGATTTTGTTGGCAGTTGAAATGCAGAATCTTCACATGCTCTTATAAATACGCTCAGAATCTTCATATGCTCTGGGAGCTCTCATGCTATAATTTCATCAAATAACTGTTTTTGTTATCCTAAACTCATGCTTGAAATCCTCAGTCTATCTCAAGGGGATAGTCTTCTGTTCGTAGATCCTGCTGTAGTGGATGGGTCTTCTTGGACAAAAGAAACACAAGAAAATGTGCTGGCATAGCAATTCGTAGCCTCAGTACAACTTTCAGAAAAGAGAGGAACGAGGTGGGGTGGGAGAAATAGAATTACAGCAGTGACATAGGTGCCAGAAAGTGTTGAGTTCCGTATGAGTCTGCTTAAGTGTTACTTGTTAAAGAAAGAAGTGTAGAAGGAAATGGGAAGATCATCAGCTTACTAAGCAGAATTTCTGATTTTTATTTTTTTTTTCCCCCCCTTGCAGCACAACACTAAATTTGTAATGAAATGGAGTCTGGGTCAAGCTCTTTTCGAGTGGAATTTCCAGATTTTTCTAGCACCATTTTGCAGAAGTTAAACCAGCAACGCCAGCAAGGACAACTATGTGATGTGTCCATTGTAGTTCAGGGCCATCTCTTCAGAGCCCACAAGGCTGTTCTTGCAGCTAGTTCACCTTACTTCTGTGATCAGGTTCTCCTGAAAAACAGCAGGCGAATAGTCCTGCCTGATGTGATGAATCCCAGAGTATTTGAAAACATTCTTCTGTCTACCTACACAGGTCGGCTGGTAATGCCTGCTCCAGAAATTGTTAGTTATTTGACAGCAGCAAGTTTCCTTCAGATGTGGCACGTAGTGGATAAATGCACGGAAGTACTAGAGGGGAACCCAACGGTTCTGTGTCAGAAGATGAATCATGGCAGTGATCATCAGTCCCCGAGCAGTAGCAGTTACAATGGCCTTGTTGAAACCTTTGAGCTTGGGTCTGGAGGACAGACGGAATTCCACAAAGTGCAGGAACTAAGGGATGGTGAAAATGAAGAAGAGAGCTCTAAAGATGAACTGTCATGTCAGCTGACAGAACATGAGTACCTTCCCAGTAATTCTTCAACAGAACATGATAGACTTAGCACTGGGATGACAAGTCAGGATGGTGAAGAAGGAACTAGCGATAGTGCAGAGTATCAATATACTAGACCTATGTACAGCAAACCCAGCATCATGTCTCACAAGCGGTGGATCCACGTGAAACCAGAACGATTTGAACAAGACTGTGAAGGTGTTGATAATCCGTATGATGAACACCAAGTTTCTGAATCCATGAATGCCATTCAGGCAGATCATTCAATCCAGTCTTCAGGTGTTGAAGACTTTCATATAAGTGACAAAAAGATGGAAGCAGAATTTGATGAACAGGCAGATGAAAGTAATTATGATGAACAAGTTGACTTCTATGGCTCATCTATGGAAGAATTTTCTGGTGAAAGAGCAGATGGAAATTTAAGTGCTCACAGACAGGATCTTATGATAGCAGCAGGCTATGGTGAAGGCATTGAAATGGCTACGGGAATTAAAGAAGAAACGTCCCTCACTGGATTCTCACATGCTGATAAGCTGTATCCTTGTCAGTGTGGTAAAAGCTTTACACACAAAAGTCAGAGAGATCGGCATATGAGTATGCACCTTGGTCTTCGACCTTATGGCTGTGGTGTCTGTGGTAAGAAATTCAAAATGAAACACCATCTTGTAGGCCATATGAAAATTCATACAGGCATAAAACCATATGAGTGTAACATCTGTGGGAAAAGGTTTATGTGGCGGGACAGTTTTCATCGGCATGTGACCTCTTGTACCAAGTCATACCAAGCTTCTAAAGCTGAGCAGAGTACTACTGAGATGAACTAAGACATTAGTGCTTACATTTATTTAGTAGAGTAAGAAAAATAAACTAATTATGCAAATGATGTCTGGTACTTGCTATTGTAAATTCTCAAAAAAACCTAAGTTTTAATGATTATGCTGGTATAAGCAGACCAAACTTCTTATTTTCCACTTCAGTTTTCCAGTATTACTCCAAGTGTTCAATGTGTGAAGTGCAAATGGTTTACCTGAAAGGTGCTTGCAGAATGAGGTCTGTAAGGTCTTTGTGACATGGATTGTAATCCCAGCAGTTAGAAACCCTGTTTTTATTTCTAAGTCTTTCTAACTTCACATAAAACCCAGCTCTAAATCGACCCATATCCTGCAAATGCTTGTATGAAGGAGGAATTCAAGTAGCCCTCCTTAATGATAAAAAGAACTAGGATGGTCAAACCAGGTTATATGATTCACATTTTAAGGAAAAAAAAAAGTAGGATACCACCTCAAACTGGAGATTGCCAACACACTTAACATGCATCATTAGGTAGTCTACATCATTAAATAGCCTTTGCTGTATTGCTTAATGAAAGGCTGTGTTGAAGATGGTTTGGCTTCCTTTATCTGTCTTCCATTTTTTGTCCACCTTCAGTAGCACAAATATCTAATTTTCTGCTGATTTCTGATTAGAGTCTGTAAGGCACTTAAATATAGTTGAGCACTATACACATTTCAATCTGTATTAAGTATAATTTGTCTTTGCTTCTCTAGGGTGTAATGCTGTATGACTCTTGGCTTGACTTGGTTTTGATTGCTACATCGTGAGAGCTTCTAGAAGTCTGTGCAATAAGTCTGTCTTGTCAAAAAAAAAAAAGTAAGATGTAACATTTGGAACTTATCCGAAATAATCAAAAGTTTAAGCTGTGGTTTTCTGTTTCATGGCTTACTACAGTAGCAAGTACCAAACTCTGTGCGTTCATGAATTTACTTTATATTGGTACAAAAACTTCTTTGAGAACTTTTATCTAGTTTTAGCAACCCGTTCCAGGAAAATGATTTAGTCATTGATAGGTATTTATACTTTTAGTTCTTGACTCTTTGAATTTTAAGAACTATAATACAGATTCTTGGTACTGAACTACTGTGACTGGTTACATGTGATCACGAGCAGCCAGAGTTGTTTTACCTCTTTAAATCACGTTGCTTGTGGGGAAAAAAGATAGAAGTATGGTATTTGGATCTATTAATGGTACTGCAGAACATGGTACCATGCTCATGTCCGAAGTCTGGATTTTTGCTGGGAAGTGGCACTTCTGCTATATCCTGGGCTCTCATTCTTGGGACAGATGGAGGAGTGTTTGTAGTTCTGAGAGATGCTGCCAGCTCTGCAGGTAGAGTGAATGCATCAATTGTAAAGGTGGCAACAGGATTTTGGGGTTGAAAGCTTAATGCAGTCTTATGCAAAAGCAATTAACCCTTCTTTGTAGTTTACTAAAACATATTATAAAAAGGAAAGAGCCTTTAGAGCATACACAAACTATAATAAAAGAGGTGGTGTCCAAGTACAGTGCTGGTAACATGGGGGGTGGGGGAGAAGTTAACCAGCATCAAAGGTCTAAGCCTGTCTGACCCCAGTTTATGTATTAGATACATATTAGATATGCAGGAAAACATACTTAAACAGATGACCCTGTATGGTGAAGCAAACACACACAAAGATAATTACTATTTAGATGCTTTTTTGAACTCCTGGTTACAAATTGTCTGAAGATACAACTGGACTGTATCCTGAACATGAATGTCTGGTACAAGGTGGGGGTTTACTACTCAGTGGGCTGTAATTACTATAACTTCTTTTCCGGCATTCTACTTATAAACTTTTAAATTTTTTTTTTAAGGGGCTCTTAATTCTTAATCTTCTGATGCTTCAGATATTTTTCATACGGAGTTTTGTTAAAACAGATATTCCCAAATATGATGAACCCATTGCTGGCAATGGGCATGAGTGGTCAGCACCATAGAGTTCCTGTTCTTAGCACTTAATTGAACTCTACAATAAACCTCGGTGGCCATATATAACCCTTGTAATCAAGGTAACTAAACAGGGATTTACTCACTAACACTGTAACCTGCTTAATGTATAGAAGCACTTTGTATTTAAAAAAACAAACAAACAAAAACAAACCATAAATCTTTATGTTTTTTAAACTTAGAAATTATATTCCCTTTATGGTTTGTTTCCACACTGCTAACACTGTCTTTTTTTAATATTAAAAAATAATAATATTATAATGCTTGCCTGTTTACATGAGTGTAAAGGAAAAGGTTCTTGCACTCAATGGCCCTATTTTTCCATTCTCCAAGGCCTTACTACATACAGGGTGTCATTTCTGCAAGTACCATCATCATATTTGAGGGAAGGTATTGTCATACTCATTTCAAGAATGACCTTGTATATTACATTAGTTCTCAACCCCTTTCAAATTGTCACTTCACTGTTGCATGAAAAGGTTAAGGGTACCTCTTCCCATTTAACCATAAAAAGGCTGGTCAGAAACACCAGGCTGAAAAAAGCAAAACATTATTTCTGTTAAACCTAGACCATCCTACAGAGCTGCCAGCAAAACTGTTTCTTTTACCAGCTTGGAATGACTTTTATATGGGACGCTTCAAAGTTAAGCATTACTCCTATTTGCAGTTAGAGTTCTTTGAAATAAAGCTTTAAAATAAAATGTACTGCGAGAGACACTTTAAAGGTTTTATAACAGGTCCAGTAGATCACATTATAGAACCATGTCCTTTTTTAATGACTTAGCATGAATAGTAATTTTTTAATATTTGCCTATTACTATTTTACCCCATATTAGTACATTGTCTTGAAAGTCCAGCAAATGTTGCTCCACTGATTTTGTAGCACTAGGCTTTCTGATGTTAATTTACATGAAACTAATTGATTGCAGGAAAATACTGATACAATTGTTATGAGATCTAGTTGGGAGGATTGATGATTTAAGGGAAGCTTGAGATACGTGTCTAAAATCCTTACTTTTGCTTATCAAAGGCAAAACAGTTGTCTTGTGGTGGTTTTCCTGAATTTAATTTATTGCCCTTTGACAAACTTCTAATCACTGATTCGGGTTATTAGGAGAAAAAGATAACAAAAAAATTATTTAAACGCTTAAGGAAACACCTTTCCTCCCCCTTTCCCAGGCTCAACTGAAGTCCAGCACCCTCAGACCAGGACATCTCCCTGATCTGTTTCCCTTGTGTTCCCCGAGCGCTGCACTCACCTGTGCTGTTCCTGTAGTGAAGTGACAGATCACACAGAGGGTGGGCTCATGGGTGTACTGGCTTGTCCGGTGTGCTTCACTTCTTAGTGGTGTCTTCTGCTGCTCTGGGATAGTCGGTGTCAACTGCTCATAGTGACACTAAGCTATAGTCCCTTCAGGGATGTGCCAGTTCCAGCTTGGGTCTCCTGTGGGCCTCAGTTACTCAGAGGTACCTTTGAGCCAAAGTGCCCTCAGAAGTGAGTCTCTTCAGACATGGACTCTGTCCTTCTCTGAGTGTCTCCATTCATGTCCTCAGTGTCTTCTCCAGGTGTTTTCCCAAGAGCAGCTCTTCAGTTCCCCTGTATGTGTTTCTTCCCCAGGAGTACCTTCTCATGTGTCTCCCTGCACCCGTTGCCAGCAGCTGCCACTCTTTCTTAAATATGTCTGAGCAGAGGCACTGTGCACACCTCTGGTTGAAGTTCTGGTGTGAAATGCATCGTTTACATCAGTTTCAGTGCAAACTGTTTTGACCAGCACAGGGCAGTTGTCAACCTCCAGCCACATGTCACCTTTGCAGCCCCCTGCTACTGAAACCCTGCAGTTCTGGCCGTGGGGAGAACATCTGCCCTTGGTTTCTGTGGCCAGTCTGGCCCAAACCGCCAAAACAGTAAACCAAGATCTGTCAGGCTCTTAATCTTTTCTAATGGAGTGGTCAAGATACAGGAAATTATTTCTTGTTAGTGGGGAGGAGGGAAGGGATACATATATATATATATAAAAAGTGAATGCATATGTATATGATAAATTTCATCGATCTTCCCTTAAGCTTCATCACCTTTAATAATATGGCTTAGAAACATTTGTGCGTTTTTATATTGCTCACTGTTGGCTGTAGTAAAGCGAATGTCTTCTGAAAACCAGAACCATTGTGCACACAGGAGTCTTTCAGAATGTCCTGCTACTGTGAAGCCATTCATTTTCTATCAGTGGTAAGAATGCTTAATGATACTACAGCTAAGTTCCTTTTCATTCCACTTTGCAACTAAGATGTTAATTACCGTGGAATCTGTGTAACTGCTATTCTGAAAAATTCAGCTGTTTGCAGGGTTAAGATCTCTGTTCAGTTGTGTATCTGACCTTTTTGAGGAAGGAGATTCCTATTTCACACACCACTCTTGGGGTTTTTAGTTTGTTTTTAAACAATACCTTGTTTTATGGGTGAGCAGGTAGACTCTAGAAGGTACTGTCAGTACAACTTTTGGTCTTAGCGTTTTTTTCATCTGAGGTGTTTCTGGGGTTGAGAAACTGTCCCGTACCAAAAGTAAGATAGATGATCAAAGGCTGATGTATTGGGTTTCTCATTATAAAAAGAATACTGATGTCCCTGTAGTATTGAGTCTGAAAAAATGGAGGCACTTCAGATCTTGTAATCCCAGCTTTTGCCTTGGTGCCAGAAGGGCGACCTGTCTCTGAATTAGGAGAGCCTACAGTAGTATTTTGAGTATTTTGCTTTAACTGAATTAGAACCTTTCTCAAGACAACAAAGGAGACTTGGGGTTTTTTTGTCATTTAAATGCTTCATTGTATAGCTAGGTTTCTTTAGCTATAAGCTGTGAACTGTCAGTGCCCTAGGGGAAGATGCTGGAGAACAAAATGGTATATTTTTAATGTGATAAAATTGTAAGTTTCGATTTTTGCTTGAAGCCTGTGTCTGTCAGTTGCTGCTCCCTTTCTTTTTTTAAATTAATTATGGGTTTCCATGTTTCTTCCAGAAATGTAACTGTTTATGCAAGTCAAGTGAATCTTCCTTAATGAGCTATAAGTTTTTATTCTAAACAAGTCATTTATAATAGTAAATTTGCATATCTTGATATTTTGTGAGATGTTATGCTTGTACTGCAGAGGTTGGATAGTTTTGTCTATAAATATTGCTGTCCTAATTGTACAGCATGGTTTTAACTTAATGTTACTGTTCAATATTTTCTTCTTATAGAAGAGTCCCATGCCCCTTTTTTTGTATAACATGTTTTAATAAATGTTATCTGTCAACTTTGTAAATGTTTTCTTAAGCTTGAATGAAAGGAATGCATGTCTAGTACCAGTATTTAATATTTCACTTTTGCCAAAACGATAAGTGCTCAAAGTAAAAAAATCCAAAAGTTGTTGATTATATAACTTTATTAAATATATAAAGAAAAAAAGTGTATTTAGTAGTAATGTGTCTTCTTGAAACGTTGAGAACATGCCAGCCCAGCCTAAGAAAACACCAAGCTGATCTTTATAACACAATTTATAACACAATTCCAGAAGACTCCCTTTATAGTAGCAACCACTGCGTGTCCAACCAAGCTGCATTTGCAGGGGGTGCAGATAACATGTAGATTTTTGTAGGCTGTCTATGAAGGAAATTTTACACTATGGAAAAGCACGGGGATATTTTATACTGTGGAAATTTACACTATGGAAAAGTGTTGGGAAAAGTGTACTACGGAAAAGATTTAAGTTTGCAGGCACAGCCCTCTCCTCAATCCTGCGGAACCGTCACAGCTGAGGCTTCTTACCGGGCATCCCTAGGGCTCGCCATGGAAACCAGAAGCCAGCGAGCTCTCATTTATAATTCCTGGAGAAACGGGGAATTCGTGCACCGCGCTCCTCTGTTCTGCAACGACTTTAAACGGAGAGGGCCGTACGCCCCGTCAGGCGAAGGGTCGCCGGAGGGGACGGGGCCGGGACTCCCCCTCCCGGGGGAGCGCGGAGCCGGGTTCCCAGCGTCATCGCTGACTCCGCCGGCATCATCGCCGGCGCCACCCGCCACCGGTGCGCGCTGAGTGCGCCTGACGTTACGCACCGACTGGCGGTGAGGGCTCTCGGAGCGGATGCGCCTGTGCGCGCCGGCCCCCCGGTAACGCTGACGCTACGGTCCCCGCCGCGCAGCCGCCAGCCCGCCCCGGCCCTGCGGCCCCCGCAGCCCGAGCGCCGGCCGCGGGGCGGGCGGGCGGCTGATCCCCGGCGGGGCCCTGACGGCGCTCCCGGGCCGCCGCCCCGCCCCTGCCGGTTCACGTCACCAGGAAGCGGAAGCGCAAGCGCCGCCAGAGGAATCGGTTCCGGGTGCGAGTAGCTGTGGGAGCGGGCGGGAAGCGGCGGTGGGAGCGGGCAGGAGACGGGCCGGGGCGGG